CATTTTGAGAAGTGAACTGAAACATGCTGTTTCCTTACAGATTTGGGTTTTACAGTGAAACCCTGCCGTTTCAAATGCTTGGAAATTTGTGACCATCTCGTGTGTAAGTTCCATTAAGCATGGGCGAGATGGGATGACTTTTGACTGGTAGAAACTCAGGATGGCTTTCGGCAGAGGAGATCTTTGCACAGGATCTAGCTCTGTGCAAAAAAGGGGATATAAACCCCCCTGCTATCAGCCAGAAAACACACCCATCATGTCAGGCCACGTGCATTCAGTGTCCAAGAGAAGGGTGCACTGACATGCTGTCTAGCAGTGAGAGCCAACAGAGGATAACATTGCTAAAACCCACCAGATCTGATATATTTTCAAGCTTAGAGCACAATGAAAAGACACCACTTCTGCCTGCCTAAAGCTGTCTTTGACAAAGAATTCCCTTTCAATCTATCTTTTGACAGAATTCAACATCATGTTCTGCTCATTGCTGTTTGGTCCACAGCAGCAAATACAGTTCTTGGTGGAGGCTTCCTACTTGGTAGAGTGCCTTGAACTGAAAACTTCCATGACAAGTCCTTAAAGTATTGAACCATTGGTTTTAGGAACATAAATGTTAAGAATAACACAATGCATCATATTTCATGGTAGGCGAGTGTAAAGGATGGGAAAGCTTCACATGACAGCGGTCATCTCCAGGGTGTAATAAGCAAACATTTTTCTTGGGTTCTCAAGACCACAGGATGGGCAGTAGCTCTGCATTCTAAAAGACAACACACATTCCTGGTTGCACTAGTGTAATCTGTCCAACTACCATTTTGGGGGAAGCAGAGAGGATTTAGAAAGAGAAGAAAATACTGTCACAATGAATGTGTTGCTGTGACACTTCAATCTTCTGGTCCAGATTGCAGATAATGAATCCCAAATTAAAAAGGGTTTTCTCTGAGAAAAAGAGATTGAACTCCTTCACCACAAGAGAAACTCATTTTCACTGTCTGATCATCTAATTTGACCCCCTGAATAACAAGACATGGGAACTTCCTGGAGCAATTCCTGCTTCAGATATATAATCTGTGCTTGAAAGACACTTTTATATATACGTATACATATGTGTGTGTGTATATATATATACACGCACATAAAACCAATAGATACCATACAAAACCAATCATCCTTTTAAAGCTTCCAGTGATGGAATAATAATAGTAACCCCATCAATCACCACTACTCTTAAGACTGTGCATCTGATTTCTGGATTGCAGATGTGGAGCTTCCCTTTGCAGCCACTGATTTTTCCTATCCCTTTCTGTTAGCCTTGGGGACCCTGTATCAAAAATGGTAGTTTTCCACAGAATTATACAAACTATGATCAAGTCTTAACTTTCTCTAGAATTACTTCAAAATCCCCCTCGATCAGAGCATTTCTGACATTGTGTAATCATCTATGATCAGCAAAAAAACTGTGTTCTTACCACCAGTATGACTGGCACTGACAGAGTATTTCCCACCAACTTTTTAAGTCTATCCAAACGCGTACATATATACAAGTCCAGAGCAGCAGGACATTCTCCTGTGTATGTCTGTTCATTGTAGAACACTGCTTCCGTATTTTTTTTAAGTGTAGAACTTCTGATGTGAGAAAAATAGAGCATGTGTAAATAAAATAAAAAAGTTATATGAACACAAATCTCTCGCTATTTCTCAGATACGGTATCTCAGAACACCAAATACAAGATCCAGTTGTTAAAGATATCATAAAGTTCGTGTAACACTCTAGAAGACTTTGCAACTGAAAATAAAGGACAAAACTCATCAAAAATTATATATGTACTTTAAAAAGTTCTAGCGACCCTAAATCCAGTAACCAACCATTAGAGAGGTATTTTGTACCATTCTGAATCTCAGTTAAAAACCAGAGGTTTCTACACAAAATACACAGGAATAAATGAGGCTTTATTACTATGCACACAAGATGATTATCTAAATCTTATCTGAACAAGTTACTGCCTAAATTTTCAAAACTGGGTTGAAAAATCTCCTACGCCTTCCTATCAAGCATGGAAACTGCCCTTCTGAAGCTACGCAGACTTCTGAGAGATGATTATTGTGTACCGTGAATCTGCAGTGTTTTGTGCGGGCAGAATATATGCGATTTCAAAAGACCCACTTAATTACAAACCCCCATTTGCTTGTACGCTGTTCTGTGAAACAACTCACTCCATTTAACATCACGTACAAAGACGACAGATACAGCTCAGAAACCTTCAGAGAACCAATCATGTGTGTGTTAAAATTAACAACAGAGTTTTCAGATTAGTTTTTCATTTTCTTTACAGTGATACACTACAGAATTTTGAACTATGAATTTTGAACTATGAAACAAATACATTCTCGATGGGTTTGTTGCTGGAAGATCCAAAGGCATGTGTCCCTATCAGGGAGACAGTAATCATGTGTGGAATAGCACCACATGATACTTGGGAACTGTATGCATTTTAAATTTTATTTTTCTCCCCACAAGTTTTCTCTGTGAGTATCTGAACCAAACTCCATTACTAAGGTCATAGGAATGCTACCGTTTAATCCAAAAATATCATGCTGGTAAAATAACGCTTTTTGAATTTTTATACAAATATTCTCAGAACAGAAACTGCTGCTGCCTCTGCAGAAGCATAACTTTTTTGCATTGCACAAAGCCAAAAAACGTTGCCTCCTTCTAAAACAGAAGTGTGCTTGCTCACTACGGATGAAATGCAACCAGTCAAAGGAATAGCACAAAACTTATTTTATGGATATAAATAAGACTTTTATTCTTGTGTGGTACTTTCACTGACAGCGAATAAGGTGTTTCATGTTTTAAGAACAATTCTTGGCCCTACAAGAACAATGCAAATACACCTACTTTAATTATGCAAAGTTTCCATCAATCTTCTCCTTATAAAATAAGGTATCCAACAAACAGAAACAATTTAAATGCTTTCTATATGAAAAGGGAAGCATAAAACTTAATTATATCCTTACTTCTCCCCTTTCTTTCCAAACTGCTATCACCACATGTATTTATATATTAAAATGCTCCCGGTAAACAGCAAAAGAATGTTTTTTCTGCTTGAAATAAGCAGCTTATCCTCCCAGTCTTACGACAGGCCTCACTGGGAGCTTCAGATCAGAAGCAAGCATTTGGCATTTGACGGCTCAAGAAAACATGTGTTTCTTGACCAAGAATATGTGTATCTTTATGTAAGATATACAAATAATGAAGAAAGTGGAGCGCATCTCACATAAACTTACAAGTTTGCAGAAGTTTAGGGTTACATTGGAAGCAGTCTCCTGATTACCCTTTTTGGATCCTTCAACTCCCTTTAAAGAAGCACCTGTAGGGATCACTTCATCTGCTCATTCTAGGCACATGTGCTTCCGGATTTGTTGTATGCCGTACAAACACTTAGGCATTTCTATTTTAAAAACTGCACAGTAAATATTTAGTTAGAAGAAATCAATTTGTATTTGCCCGCAGAAATGTAGATAGCTGTAATTATTATATACAACCTATTATAATACATCAAAGAAGTTGGCATACTATAGAGGACACACAAATTGGTCAGTTGACAGGAGCATTCAAGGTAGCTTTCAGGGAACTGAGAGAACACTAAAAAAGGGAATCTTTTTCCTAGTCGTTTCTGATGTTATTATCTTTGTGCAAATGAGACAATCCTTTAATACATACACAAAAGTATTTTTTTTAAATTAAACTCACATGTATCATAAACATTTACAAAGTAAGCATCCAGAGTTTCCTAATTACAGTCGTTTTATTTAGCCAAATGTTTTTTGAAGTGGCTTAAGCATCCTACATTCTCAGAAAAAAATTAAAAACTGGGCAGAGGGCGAGCAT